CAGGGCCAGGCCTGGCCTTGTAGCTGCTCTGTGTCTTACCCCAGGGGACAAGATGCTCTTGAAATTGCTCCCCTGCCTCCCTGTGTTATTCTCTGATATACAAACTTGAGACCAGTGCTAGTTGATAGATATTTTTTAATGAGACAGCACCTTCTTTTAAATTCCTCGGTTTTCAATGTCAGCTCTTTTCAGTGGTATGGCTAGGGGCTGGCTTGCCAGGTAAGACCTTGAAATTAGCCATGGTGGGAATTTTCACACCATGGAAATCAGCAAATGCTATAAATCAGGAATTTTTAAAATTTTCCTCAGAAAGCCATTTACCAGCACCCCATTGGCTCTTTCCCTACCTCTCACCCCCATTTCCCCAAGAATTGCATGTGACCATGGAAATAGGAAAATAATTTGGCTGATAGGATGATACAGTTTTCCAGTCCTGACTGCACCTTAGGCCTAAATTCTTTCCTTAGGAGCCTCCCATCTCAGCAGGCTCCTAGGCTTTAATGAAAACAGGGTTTGTGTGGCTCCCTCCTACCCCTCAAAGGTCCCACACCCTTTCTGCCCCACACATGGGGTTAATACAATGCTGGGTTTCTATTTAGAAATTAGATAGTTCTAAATTCCTGCTTTCCTCGGTGAGATAGCGACAGGAGCCTCTTTGTGTATGACTATTCCCAAACCCATATCTTCCCATTTTTCAGATATGCCTCAAGAATGCACAATTTGGGATCTTAGTGTAGGAAAACCAGAAGCAATTGGCACACTTTCATTATTAACTACTGAATCAAACCATTTGCCAACCTGCTAACTGCTTTCTTGTCAACATCTTCCCCTTTCTGATACCACTCAAGTCAGGGCTATTGAATAGAATGAAGAAATCATTTTAGTACTAGGGTAATAGAGAAGAAATAACTGGAACTATGATAAATATTTTTTGTATAAGAATGATTTGATATAACTTAATTCTTTTGAACTGTTCACTAGACTTTGTATCTTATACCATGCTTTCAAGTATTAAATAAGGGCTAAAATGTTTTACTTAAGTTAAACTAATTAAAACCTTTAAAAATTCAATATTCCAATTTTCCTGACCTCAGTTAAATGCCTTAATCCTATTAGACCATTCTTTAAAATGAATTAGACTCTAAAGTATTATAGTTACAATTTTTTTAATGTACCTTACCCAGTATAGCAACATAATAGGGTTACTAAAATTAAGGTTAATGAGAAGAACCACGAAGGTTCCTGCAATTTCTTCCTCTTTTAAAAAAAAAAATACTTCCAGTAATTCCTACTATTTATTTTATATGGACCATACAGTACAAAGCAACCTTATGCTTCTCCCCAAATGGCAAGTAGTTGAAACTGGACACTTTGACCTTAAGTGGTACACTGCAGGGGGCATCCCTGCTCAGAATCTACTACATTCACAAGGGTCCACATCTTCCAAAATAAAAATCAGTGTTATCAATGTCTTGGTTGGCTTTCATGTTTACAACAGACTTTTTGAACAGGCTGTCTGTGCCAGGCCCTGTGCTGTACTCCCTCTTGGGGAGGACGTAGACACATCATTAAACTGCTATAATACTGTGTGAATGGACCCAAGCAGAGGACTGTGCAGAATGGGTCCCAGGTTAAAGAATGGGCACTAGTTTATCTGGGAAACAGGACAAGGAAGTTTACTAAAGTCTGTGCAAAATTGCTTCAGTCACTGTTTAACTTGGGCTCAAAGCTGTTTCTACATCCTGTAAAAAGAGCTAGTGCAGATGAAACATGCATAATCAGTGTGGACCATTTATTGCCCCCTCATATTCCCACGTTCCTCAGTTTTGGAGCCATCACCACTGAAGACCTGATTGGAGCCCCTGCTTTATTCTTAATGCCATTTTTTTCCCCGCCTTCCGTATTTAGAACTGAGGCAAAAGAGAATACCTAGTTTGGGTTCTAATAACCCTCTAAGAGGTGTGCTATGTAGTTATATTTTTACCTCTTAGGTTTCTTTTTATTCAGAATTATAGTTCCTAACTTTTCAAAATTACCCTTTGCACACAACTTTTTTCCTTTTAGGATGAAAATTGAACTTTGCTTCAGCCTGACATTAAAACTGCTCATACAGTCTACATTTCAAAGAAACATATTTCTCTCAAAATAACTTTTCAGAAATATGTGACTGTCAAAGTACAATGTACCTATCACACAGGGTTTAATAAACTCTTCTAGAACATTGTTGGAGAAGCATTTGGATTAGGATGTCAGCGTCTTGCCTAGTTAGAATGGAAATCGTTCTTCTAGTAGAAGAGTGCATTCTTTTTGTAGTGGTATATTTCGAAAGATGATCTTCAAATATCACAAGCATCCTTTGTTCTCTTTTCCTTAATGATTTTGGAAGAACAAGCTGTTTATGTATATAGGCCAAGTATGTTTTCTTATCATGCATTGTTTTAAACATTAATTATCCTTTAGTTATTTATCAGCTTTATTCCTTCCAGGATTGATTTCTTCTCAACAAAAGAACAAGTGTTAATTTAAATCATTTTGAAAAGTCATTCAAAATATCTCAAGTAGGCTTAACACATCATGCAGAACTGCTCAGATAGTCTTCATAATTGACTAATGACCCATTCTCTTTGGGTTTACAAAGAACAGAGAAAAACAGGTGACTTCAGAGCTCTTGCCTTTGTAAATCTTATTTCTGTTATTTCTGGCATAAATGTAACTTCAAACAAACCCTCCCACCCAGAAAACCACAATATTTGTAGCCTGTGTAGAATCTTACAGTAAGAATTATAGGTAGCTGTGGGTGCAGACCTAGCAAATGACCTTCTTCTCAGAGGACAACTCAGGGAAACAAGGTACAAGGTACCTTAGCAGGTCTTCAAGTTTGAAAAGTGGTTATGTACATCTATTTGCCAGTTGCTTTTTTAGCCTTCTTAAGATTTTAAAAAGAAATGATTTTTAAATAGCAGTTGACAAAAGATCTAAGTGACTTACAAAAAGAACCAGATGGTGAGGCTCACGAAACACTGGACTGTATTTCAGAGGGTGACTGCAGAATCAGTTACTTGGGAGATTTTAACAGGAGAATCTATGTCCTTTTAATAATGGCATTAACTATAGTGGGATAATGTAGTGGGGGTCCTTCAGGAGATCCTGAAATGCAAAGTGACTGCCCAGGGTTTCAATTTTGAAATACTACGACAAATGAATCTATTTTTTTAAAAAACTGTTCAGAATGAAGCTCAAGGCTCAGGGTTTTCAATTTATTAACAGGCTTATAAAATTTTATTTGGTTATTTCTAACAACAGTTAGTAAACTTAAGCAAGGGCAGAAGTCTGGGAATTGTTTTCAAGTTAGGGGTCAGGCCTTGTACACATCAGTCTCTGAACCTGAACTTGCTCTGTGAACTTCAGCAGAACCATAAATGTTGCCAACGGAGAAAGTGCTCCGACCCAATTTCTCTATACACATGTACCATTTACTTTACAACCTTAAAGCCTGATAAATAGGTTTTCTGGGTTGGCAATGTTTGCCACGCAGGTAGAATGCATGCAGGTGGAATTTCATTCTGTGCTAAATCACAGCATTCTGAAAAACTCGGGGCCTTGCAAAAGGCCATATCTCAAAAAAGTTACTGCTTCAAATAAATGTGCCATTTTATAAAATTACACCTACTGAATCAGAAAAAAATGTTCTTTCATGTGAGTGACATTTATATGACTGCCATTTATAGGGAATAGGACATTCTCACAGAGCAAGGCTGAAGAATGTTTTTTAAAAAATTTTTTTAATGTTTTATTTATTTCAGGGAGAGAGAGAGATACAGCGTGAGCAGGGGAGGGTCAGAGAGAGAGGGAGACACAGAATCTGAAACAGCCTCCAGGCTCTGAGCTAGCTGTCAGCACAGAGCCCCATCAGGCTCAAACCTACGAACTGTGAGATCATGACCTGAGCCGACTCGGAAGCTTAACCAACTGAGCCACCCAGGTGCTCCTGAGGAATGGTTTTGAAAGTTGAGTGTAGTCTCTGAATGATAAATGTGGTAGAAGTCCAAGATACTTGTATGGGAAGAGATGCTCCACAACTGGGCAGTTTTGCCACAACAGTGAAACTTGCATTATTATGAAGAAAGTAATTGCTTGGTCATACTTACCGCATTAATGAGATTTTCTATATATTTCGAACCAACAGGCATCTTTAGTCATGGATTTTCACCTTGTTAGAATGTTGGACTGTGTGGATCATCTGGTCCACGGGCCTTTTATTTTACATATGTGGAAAATAAGGCTGAGGTGGTGAGCTTCTAGTTAGAACTAGAAATAGAATTCTCCAACCTCCCTCGCCTATTCTCCATCCAACTCCCCTTCATCACACCAGTCATCTTTTTAAAAAGTTCTTAAATTACCATGGTGGTGGTGGGGGGAACTACCTTCTAGCTGTCTCTGGACAAACTGGGAAACGGGGATTTATTTACTCTTTACAATAGACTACATTTTCAAACAGTATTTCTCTGGAAAAACAATCACTAAATTACAGAAGGGAATTTAAGTCAAGATCAAGGACAGAAGTGGTTGCAGATCTCAGGACACATTTCAGCTCCTGGTGAGGATCTGAGAGTGCAGACATTGCCAAAATCAAATTCTTCCCGCGCTCTTCCTGGTGAGCGCCACAAGATCGCTCTCATCTAGAAGTTAAGATACAGAGAGGAATACAAACCCTAAGTCTTCCTTCCCCCTTTGGGTTTCTCCGCACCCTGGGGAAGAGATGAGTGATAAAACTCCAGGAAAAGAGATGTTCACTGAATTGCTTAACTCATCGCGGGACACCCTTGGATGGCGCTTCCTGGGGGTGTGGGGTGCGGGCGGCGCGGAGTTTGCTAGCAACTTCTTCCAGGTGCTTTCGGGCTGGAGGATGGAAGCGGGGGCTCCGGGTGGGCTGAAGCAGATAAGGGAGGGGGTGCCGTGCAGCGAAAGGTACGAGGCAGTAGCGGGCTACAGCGACCCACCTGCTAGGAAGTGCCTTCGAGGCGAGGCGGCCGCGGTCCGGCGCGGCTGCAGCGGGGCGCGCCGGGGGTCAGCTCACAGCTCAGGGCTGCGGGCGGCGCCTCGCGCGCGTATAAGAGGCTGGAGAGCAGAGGGAGGGCCCGCTAGATTTCGCAAGATAAGCGGTGAAGAAAGCGTTTCCAGGAAGCGTTCAAACTGGGAGTCCCGGGCAACTGGAAGAACCAGAACTTCCTGTGCTGCCGCTGTGGCCGTTGCTGCAGATGTGCTGCTGGTATCGGCCTGCGGGGTTTCCAGGGGGTTTCCCCAGAGCCCGTGGAATCTGCATTCCAGGCAGTATTGAAATTTAGGGAGGCTGAGGAGGATCCCTCTCCTGAAGGAGCGAGACAATTTTGAGTAGCTGGGAAACACTACCTCTAGGCTTCGAGGCATTTCTCTTACTACTATTTTGTCTCAGTTCAGCGTAAAAGGTGACATCTTTCCCCTCTGTCTGGAAGCCTTGGGTTCTCATAGGGCTCATAGCTTGGATGATCTTGAATTTGGAGGTTCCATTTAGGTAGATTAAATCGTTTAAAAGAAACAAGCCTAAAGAAAGAGAGATGATGATGCGGATGCTTATTGTCAATATATATGTAGATAATATTGCATTATAATATGCAATAATATATATTGCAGTATAATATGCAATATAATATGCAATAATATAATATATATAATTATATGTTATAATTATAATATTATGTTGCATAATTATATATATGCAATTGGATTGATATGTCTTTCTATATAGCAGAGCTCAGAAACTACAGCTATGGGGTTTTAGATTTAATCAGTCATGATAACCTATGGGGCAAAGCACCCCTCAAACTCTGCAGTTTGGAACCTAGAGTCCTCCCAATTTGTCTCTTGCCAAGCCATCTGGTCTTAAGTTCCATGGCATACTTGACAAGGTCCAGATATTCAGCCACATGGAGGCTAGTTCCCAGCACTTTTGAGCCAACCCTTCCTTCTCCTGGATTGCAGCTCTCTGCAGAGTATCTTGTGGAATTAGCTCAGATCCCATGTCTTCCAAGAAGTCTTCTCAGAGTCTCTGGTTGCAGCTAAACTTTTCTTTCTCTATATGGTGTAGTTTATGCTTCCAAACGATGGTTAGGAAGATTTGCCTCTTAGGAGAGTTCCTGAGTCTACATCTTTTCTCCTGGACTGCAAGCTCCAAAGGTTGAAACCCTATTGTTTTCATCCTGGGATTCTCCACCACACCTAGCACAGTGCTTGCTTATAATAGGTACTCAATATTGAGTGCACTCTTTAATAAACCTATGTCAAAGGTTCATCTGATAGTATTTTTTGAGCAAGGAAGAGCTTAAGAAAGTATTCATTGATTTTATAGCATCAGTTTCCCCAGCTTGAAGACTGACAGGGTGAGAGAAAGGTGTGCAACTAGGAAAGAAGAAGACCTCCTGGTGTGTTCCCTAGAGGCCTCATGGTTAATCAGCACAGTTTTGGTGACCTGCCCCTGTTCTACAATCTGGCTTTAAGACTTTATGGGCACAGAAACTTGATACTTTGCACACTGACCCTAATACTGACAACTGCAATGCTGATTTGTTAGTTGACAAATGGAATATAAAGAAAATAATTACTGTGAAAATACAGTTGTAGAGAGCACTAAACATTCTAGCCATCACATTCTTGCCCTGGCAGAACATCCCAAGGAAGCCATTTTATACAGAAACCTGCTCAATAAACAGGGGAGTGAGTTATCAGATTCCAAGGCTGCTAGCATCTAAGCATCTACCGTTGACACCATGATGACAATCTACCACCAGCATGTTGATGGGGCCATGGACCCAGGTCACTCTGGTTTCCAGGTGGTGTTTGGATCCATGATGAGTTGAGATATGGACAATCATATTCCCAAATGCAGTCTCCAACTAATAACACAATCATTGCTTTTTATATTTCTTTTCAGGTGGACAAAAATTTTTAAAACCCGATTTTTATGAGAGGCAGGTATATTTCAGTTATGTAAGCTCTTTTCTTTGCCAAGGGCAACTGGAGTCCCAGAAAAAGAAGATTGAATTACCGAAATATGAAGGACAGAAGAAATTGTCTTTATTAGTACTAAACTTAAGAGGTGTTCAACTTATTTATCTTGTGGTTTAAAGATTGATTTTTCCCTAAGTCCTAGGAGGGACACAAAATTCATAACTCCCCTAGTCTTTCCTTAAACCCCTGCTGTCGGGACTATTAAACTTTCAAAGATGCCAGCAACCTGAAGACCAAGGCTTTGCTGTTGGCAGAATTCATCCTTCTCCTGACAGCTTATCATCAGAACTCTGGATAAGCCTTCCCAGATGTTGCGCACACCGCAGCATTCCTGTTTAGAGATTTCCACATTTACCGCCCTAAGTCTTTCCTGCCACTTCCTCACCAGCCAGCCTGCTGTCTCAATTTCTCCACATGGCAGAACTTAGGACAATTGATGAAGTAGGCCTAGGGCCAGTACTTAATGATTGCATGAAAGTTTGCCTTTAACATCTTGTGGCTCCTTTCCTATGTCATTTCCCTCCTCTTAAGGGCCTGTTTTCTTTGCAGTCTCAGGTCTTGACCATTCCTCCCTCTTCCCAGAGTCTTCTTCTTGCAGTGCATCACACATTATCATAGGGTGCTGGCTCTGGAGGTGACTGACATGATAGTCTTTAATTAGCACATATATGGGAAACTCTTGACTTAAAGATTTGCCCTCTAGCTGTTTTTGAAAAATAAAACAAAACTGAAGGATTCCTGGAGATGTCTGGCTTATCCAAAGAAATAAATCTCGAATGGGGGAGTGGTAGATTTCAGGCACTTTGGGAGATATTTTGAATATGGGTATAATGAGTTATTTTGTTTTTTACTTGCCCAGTATCCAGGGTCAGGACTAGCGTGAGGTGAATGAGGAGCCTAGGACACAAAATTTGAGGGGAGTTCACTATTAAAATGGACCGTCATGAACCAAAAAATGAGTGTTCCTTAAATTACGCCTGTTGGTGCTTCAGTGACCTCTTCTTGTCCTAGCCTTGCAGAATCTGTTTTTCTTTGTGCTGATCATATCTTCATTTTCCTTTGAGAAACACCCCAGCACAATCCCAGTCCCCGTGGTCCAGGTAGAAATGACAACACTGGGTAGGGGTGGGGGGAGAGTCAGTTTTTGGAATAGACCCACGACATAGGCCTGGAGAGTCAAAGCACACAGCCTTGTCCACAGTGATTGGTTTAGTGATGACATGTGACCTAGGCTGGGCCCATAGGATTCTTTCCTGGAACAACCCAGAAAGAAGCACACTCTTTACAGAGAGTTGTTGAGATGCTAGCAGGTGAACCTGCTAGAGCCTGAGAAAGAAGCCTGTCAAAAGAAAGGAGAGTAAAGAGGTGAGAAGGGATAGATTTCTGAATGTGTTAGAACTCTACACCTGAAGAGAATTATACATCCTGGGCTTTTTGGTTACACATGTCAGTAATTCTGTGTTATTTGTACAATCCTGCCTAATGAAATGGGATATGATAGGGTGGGAAGGGCACCCTCTCGATCTTGCTTCTCCAGTCAGTCTGCCCACTAAGGTGGCTTCATTGCACCACTCATCCGGAATGAGAATGCCATTTATTGTTTTGGGGGAAAAGTTTCTCTAGTTTTCTTGCAGCAGATTTGAGACTTGAGTAAATAATCTCTGTGGCTGAAGTTTCTTGGTTACATTTTGGCAGATGTGGAAATTTAATTTCTTGTCCCAGCCAACTTCTTTGCTACTTCTTTCCTACCCTCCTGGGAGGTGGGCTAATACAACCACCATGAAATGTGAAACTGCAAAGGGTTCAAACCAGGTCCATGCCCTGCATTTACTTACTATACCAATTTCTAGGATTCCTGCCAACACAAAGCGGGAAGCAAAACCAAACATTTTGCCACCCACCTGTTACCAGAAAAAAGCACTGATGGGAAAATATGCCAGACAGTGGCAATAATGGAGGCTGGGCTGGGCGATGATGTCAGGAATAACAATAAGGAATTTAAAAATAAGACATGTCCTGAAGACCCTGGCTCTGTCACTAGAAATTCAAGAGAAGGTGTCAGTGGAAGAGTGTGTGTGAGAATGAGTGAATAATAACACTTTAAAAAGTCACTGACTTGAGGTAAAGGGTGGCTACTTCTGGCATTGGGAAATGGGGGGAGAATGTGTGGGAATCCCTGTTGTATTTATCTGCATTTCTGACTCTCTGAGTCACAAGGTCTGTGGTAATTTGGCAGAACCATGGACTGACCGTCCCCAAGAGAAATCTGGACTTGGTCCAGGTCACACCTGCTGACCTCAGACTTGGCTATGATGTTTTCAAAGAACAATATCTTCAAAGTTTGAAGAGAAGGGGAAATATCTAAGTCAAGTTAATGTTTTGATAAATGATACTATTTTTGATAAGCGAGGTTTTCTCTTTGTAATTCAAAATCTGAAAATAAGTTTTACCTCAGCCTCCTGGTAAAGAAGCTGACTGTTAAGGTACTGGGAGAGCTCTGTTTCAACAGTGGGTGGTGGTTACTCTTAGTACTAGAAATATTATTGGTAAAGGTGATTCCAGTACAGGCAGTCTGTGCCTGGTGCCAGGAAAGGGAGGTTAGCTAAATTGTCACATACTGAAGAGGAGAGAAAGAGAAAGAAAGAAAGAAAGAAAGGAAGGAAGGAAGAAAGAAAGAAAGAAAGAAAGAAAGAAAGAAAGAAAGAAAGAAAGAAAGAAAGAAAGAAGGAAAGAAGGAAAGAAGGAAAGAAGGAAGGAAAGAAGGAAAGAAGGAAAGAGAGAGAGAGAGAGAGAAAGGAAGAAAGGAAGAAAGAAAGGAAGAAAGAAAGAGAAAAGAAAAAGAAAAGAGTGAATGTAGCTTAATCCGTTGTCCTGTTCAAACAGAATTTGCAATGAGATAGGTATAAAGTAGATCATAGGAAGAAAAGGACAAGAATAATGAATACATTAGGCCATTTTTTTCTACTTTTGACTGTTCATAAAGATCAGCTACTTGCTAAGAGTT